CGCAGGCAGTGTGCTGCATGAGACAAAAATGTAATATAGCCAAAACAACCGCATAGCCACTCTTTAGTGTAGATGCATGATGATTTTATGAGACGATGCCGCGATTATAAATGAGTGACTCCTGGTTAACATGTATTAAAAGGGGTCGTGTTTAGTCACTATTTAGTGTGGTATTTTTTGACAATATTCACTCATTATGACAGTAAAATAGGGCATTCTAAGTCAATATACTGCAGTATTTCCTCTCTCAATCAGTAGAAAATATGGTTAACACCCAGTCATGCATGAACAAAAAATACCGTCAGTTATCTAGAAACCGGTATAATTTTGAAAAATACCGCGATATAAATTTTTGGTCATACCGCCCAGCACTACTGTATATTATTATGATAATGAACAGGCTGCATTGTCAGTTAGCAATGCTAAACTGTGTGCTTGCGTGCGTGCGCCGCCAGTGCAATCACTTGAGTTTTTTCTTTCTAACAATGGAAACAACTACTCCTTCTAGGCATACAGATAATCGAAACTGTAAAAGGTTTGCTTTTATTTGTGTACATTCACAATAAAATTTGTTAATTTATTATTTAAGTAAAATATATTTCTTATAAAGGCCTATTTATTCGTTATATAGCCTAGCTTTATTATGTTTTTCTCTGCTTGTAGAAGATCTGCAGGTGCGTGTGACCATGTGAATCTTCATGTTCTTTTGTTTGCTCCTTTTTGTGCATGTAAAATTAATCCCTGGAAAACAAGTGTTAGTATTTTTAACGGGTCACAGACACTTATCCTTCCTAATTTAATTAAATTCTTACTTAAAATAATCTTGTCGGTTAACGGTTAATAGTCAGTTAACGAGCGTTGGTTGTCGGTTAGGGGAAATAACCGAAATGAACATCCCTAGCCTGAACTCATCTTAGATTGTCCAAAAGACAGTGGAAATGTGTGCTGTGGTCAGAGGAGTCCACATTTCAGCTTGTTTTTGGGAAAAATGGACATCAGAGTCCTAAAGACGAAAGAGAACCTTCCAGACTTTCATCAGCGTCAAGTGCAAAAGCAAACGTCTATCATGGTATTGGGGTGCATCAATGCAAATTGCATGGGTGACTCATATGTGTGAATAGTACCATTGACATAAAGGCATATACTGGGATTGTATACATATTTTCCTACAAGATGACATATTTCATGGGAAGTCCATGGATATTAGCTGAAGACAATGCCAGGCCTAATTCTGCATGTGCTACAACAGCATGGTTTCGTTGACACACGTGGATGTGACTGACTGGCCAACAGATCTGTCTCCTATTGAAATGTATAGCCCATCAAGATGATGTGACACAGTGGTAAACATGCCTCTGTCTAAACATTTTTGGATTGTGTTGCAGCCATCAAAATCAAAATTTGTTTATATTCACAAAATACAATTAAGTTAATCATTGAAAACATTGAAAATCTTTTTTGTACTTCAGTTATTTAAATAAAGGTTAAATAGAATGAACAATCACATATTTTTTATTTAACTGCACTTTACAAAATGTCCTAAATTTTTCTGATAATGGACTCATCTGAGATGAGATCTGAGATGACGCTCATTGGCTTCTGCATATAATTGATGTATAGATTTCTTCTTGTGTAACAGAGATTGCATTTCTTGCATGCAGTGATTGACTATGTTAAGTGTCACTGGTTTTCCATAGTACTCCCAAGCCCATGTGGCTATATTTAACACTATATGACGGTTTCTCATGCAATGCCATCTGAGGCCTCAAAGGTCACACACATTCAACTGAGGTTTCTTGCCTTTCCCGATACAGACTGAGATATCTCTGGATTCCCTGAATCTTTTCACAATATTATTCATGGTAGATGGTGAAAAACCTGAATTATTTGCAATTTTGCTTTTAGAAATTTCTATTTTTGATTTGTCTGACAATTCACTCATGGAATTTGGCACAAATTAATGAGCCATGACCCATCTTTGCTGGCAAAGACTGAGATCCCCCTTTACACCCAATCACGATCCCCTCACTTATTAACAATTCACCTGCTTATTGTGGACTGTTTCAAAACAGTTTAACTTGGATATTCATATTCACTTTTAGTATGCTTCTTGTCCCAACTTTTTGTGTGTGTTGCAGCCATCAAAACTTGTTTGTTTATAAAATACATTTAAGTTGGTCAGTGTAAACATTGGACATCTGTTCTTAGTACTTTTTAATTAAAGGTTAAAGAGAATTAACAAATCGCCTATTATTGGTTTTACTGCATTTTACAAAACATGCCAACTTTTTCTGATTTGGGGTTGTATCTGGTTCATAATTTTTGCAATCATATTACTAAAATTTTGAACATGTTACAGTCCTGACTGGTAAAATGTAGCTAATCAACCCTGCAATTTGTGCCTGTAATATTTAAAAATAATAATTGGATGGTAAATGTACACAATTCAATTGAATGAATTCTAATTTTCATACTTTCTACTATTATGTCAGGGTTTACATGTCCTTTCCCTTTCACATTTCTCTCTTTAATGGTTTTGTACATTCATTTTAGACCTGATAGAAGAGAACAAGGAGATTGAAGAACTGACTGAAGTGGAAGAGAAACATCATGTAAAAACTGAGGAAGCATGCTGGAGTCCCTCATTGAAAAGAAGAGATGAAATATGTTTCACTTGCTCTCAGTGTGGAAAGAGTTTCTCATGCAAGCAAAGTCTTGATATTCACATAAAATTTCATCTTGAAGGGTTTTCAGATGACCCAAAAGACCACCTGAAAGTTTATACAAAGGAGAAGCCTTATGTATGTAATTTATGTGGAAAGAGTTTTATTCAGATGAATGCATTTAAAATGCACCAGATAAGACACAGCGGTGTGAAGGATCATGCTTGCTCTGAATGTGGGAAGACTTTTTTTACAGATGGTGCACTGAAAGTGCACCTGATAGTTCACACTACAGAAACGCCTTACAAGTGTTCACACTGTGACAAGAGATTCAAACGGTCAATATATATGAAAAGGCATGAGAGGATCCACACTGGAGAGAAGCCGTACACATGTGATCAATGTGGGAAGAGCTTCAGACTAAAAGGAATCCTTAATGATCACATGAAAATCCACACTGGAGAGAAGTCTCACACATGTGGTCAATGTGGAAAAAGTTTTGCACAAAAAGGAAATCTTAAAGAACACATGAAAATCCACACAGGACTGAAGCCACACAGATGTGATCAATGTGGGAAGAGTTTCAGACTAAAAGGACTTCTTAATGATCACATGAATATCCACACTGGAGAGAAGCCGCATACATGTGATCAGTGTGGAAAGACTTTCGCACAAAAAGCAAACATTAGCAAACACATGAAAGTGCACACTGGAGAGAAGCTGCACACTTGTGATCAGTGTGAAAAGAGTTTTTCACAAAAAGGAAACCTTAAAGAGCACATTAAAATCCACACTGGAGAGAAGATGCACACATGTGATCAGTGTGGGAAGAGTTTCAGACATAAAGGAAACCTTAAGAAACACATGAAAAGCCATATTGGGGAGAAGCCGCACACATATGATCAGTGCGGGAAGAGTTTGAGTTGTAAAATAAATCTGCGAACTCATTCTAGAGAAAGACGATATAACTCTGACCAGTGCTGTACAAAAAAAGTCAGGGCAGATTTCCTGAAGGACCACCTGAAAGTTCATTCAAAAGAGAAGCTTTACGTATGTGATTTATGTGGAAAGAGTTTTAGTCAGATGGGTGCATTAAAAATACACCAGAAAAGACACAGCGGTGTGAAGGATCATGCTTGCTCTGAGTGTGGGAAGACTTTTTTTACAGATAGTGACCTGAAAGTGCACAAGACAGTTCACACTAGAGAAACGCCTTACAAGTGTTCACACTGTGACAAGAGATTCAAACGGTCAGAAAATCTGAAAATACATGAGAGGATCCACACTGGAGAGAAGGCTTTCACATGTGACCAGTGTGGGAAGAGCTTCAGACTAAAAGGAAATCTTAACAAACACATTAAAATCCACACCGGAGAGAAGCCACACACTTGTGATCATTGTGGGAAGAGTTTTGCACGAAAAGGAAATCTTAACAAACACATGAAAATCCATACCGGAGAGAAGCCGCACACATGTTATCATTGTGGGAAGAGTTTTACACAAAAAGCACTCCTTAATGATCACATGACAATCCATACTGGAGAGAAGCCACACACATGTGGTCAGTGTGGGAAGAGTTTCAGAATATCAAGTGTTTTTAAAATGCATCTCCGTACTCATTCTAGTGAAAGACTCTATAACTGTGACCAGTGTGGTAAACATTTCTTTAGGGCAAGTGCCCTAAAGAGGCATCTGAAAGTTCATACAAGGGAGAAGCCTCATGTGTGTTCTTTGTGTGGAAAGAGTTTTAGTGAGCGGGATGCTTTAAAAATACACCAGAAAAGACACAGCGGTGTGAAGGATCATATTTGCTGTGAGTGTGGGAAGGCTTTTTTTACAGATGCTGAAGTGAAAATGCACCAGAGAATTCACACTACAGAAACACCTTACAAGTGTTCACACTGTGAAAAGACATTCAGACGGTTAGTATATCTTAAAGTACATGAGAGGATCCACACTGGAGAGAAGCCGTATCACTGCCATTCATGTGGCAAGAGTTTCACTCAATTATCTTCTCTAATCTGTCATAAAAAAAAGATGCACGTCTGAAATTACAGTAAGCTAAATTTGATTTTTAATAGCATTTTCATGTTGTGATTTTCATTTTTCTGTGAATATAACCTATACTGTATAATAATAATAATAATAATAATTACAACTTTTTTATCTTTTGAAATGTTTATGTTTGTACTTTTGAAAATGTATCTTATATGCAGTGCAAATTAAGCTAATTATTTAACACTTTAGGCTCATTTTGAGCACAAAATATGTGCTTTCTGTAAATGTATTTGTTTCTGGTGTAATTGTTTAGTTGATGTTTGTCACTAAGCAACTGTATGGAAAGTAAGATGATGTACAGGTCGGAGCCGGGTTTGAGTGCATTAAATGCATTCATCATTTTAACGCCTTATTTTTTCTATAATTAACCTCACCTAATTGTAATATACATATCTATGATATATACAGCATCACACCATCTTCTTTTGGTCTAAAGTAATATATAGTCTATGCATAGTTAAGGCTGATTGGCCAATGCAGTTGTCAACAAAAACTCACCAATGAGAAACCTTTCAGCACACCCATTTCCATGACCTGCAGCAGCTGTCTATAAGACATGAAGTAGTACTTGCATTGCATACAAGAAAGAAATGGTCCAGAAAGAAGGTGGTTTGGAAACAGAAAAGAGGATGTATTAATCTTCAGAACGTGTATTGGACATTGTTCATTAAATCGGTCTCTGCATAGAACAGGGCAACATGAAACCGGAAATTGTAACAAATGTGTCAAGCAGAAATAGTAGGACACTAAATGTGATGCTTATGAAAGAATTTAGCTCTTTGGGAATAAATAATTTGTCACTCTAGGTTCCTGTTAGGGGATGGGCCAAAACAATCTATAATTTACAATGAATTATTTATTTATTTGAAAGAAACAGGACTGATTAATAGAATTTAGCTTTTTTTTAAAGTCGTTGTTTCAGACTTCCCTACCATTATGCGCTCCACACTCCTTTCCAGTAGGTGGCGGGAATGCACCTTTTAAGTGGGTCTGCCAACCACCGTTGAACTCCAGAAGAAGAAGAAAACGGGAAGTAGTAGTGCCATCACACACACAGCTTTGAGTCTTCTGAGGTGAGGTAATTGGCATATTTATACAATTATAAAAATACAGCTTGTTAAAGTAAAATTTTACAGGCTCATTTCTGTGTTGTTTTAATCTGGTACAGTTCTATTTGTGCGTCTTTTCTGGCGTTTCTTAACTGAAACAAACATTTAGCTATTTAGCAAAACATTTAGTAACGTTAGGGTTGCTAACCATTCTGAATTGTCCCGTATTTAAGACAACAATTTGTCCCGTATACGCAGGCATACGCTGTATGACCACCCAGACCACACGAATAACAAACTCTAAATTGAAAATAATTCATTTTTGAACAAATCATTGTTAGTTTTGCGAACATTAGGTGAAGGCGTTAAGACCCAGCAGAATCCTCAGCCGGGTGGTCGCTTCCGCGCCACAGCGAGAGGATGATGAGGTTTATTATGCGTTGGTGTAGCTATATTGTGATACATTCACAAACCCATTTCCTACGTTACTACTACACGACTGGTGCAGATTATTTTTTAGAATTACATTTATTATTATTATTATTTTTTTTTTTAATTGTACATAAATAGAATAAGCAATACACGTGATTGTGTCTAAGAATCAATTTTGTACACATGCAGACAATGAAATGACATACACTTTGTGGTACAGTACAAATAATTGTCCCTTATTTTCAATGATGTGAGGAACTATTGTTAAATTAATTAAAACCTGAGCGACTTTCTATGTTGTATGATTGTTTAACAGGGTTTTTCATGGCCCTAAATGAAGTGGAGGTGGTAAAATCCTGCTCATGTGCACACACACAGAGGTACCGCATTTCAACTGGCTGAAGAAAACACATTTTACAAGCACATATTTGAGGTATTTAAATAATAAGATTATTATTATGTTGAAAACAGTGTCATATACAGTTTTGTGAGATTATTATGGGTGGACCACACTCTCTTTAGTGGGTCGGTCGGGGGGCATGTCCCCCTGGAAGAAAATTTTGTACATTTTAAAGATAAATTCATTAATCTGGTGCACTTTTATATACGCATGTTTGTTGGGTTTTGCCGTGGAATGAGAGTACAGTGTTTTTATTAAAATCAACATATTAAGTATGTATCTCTCATCCATTAATGATCCACCCGCAATTAACTGGAACATATTTTTTTATTACTTGGCCCGACCGACCTGTGGATATAACCACAATCCACGCATCACTATTGTGCGCTCTCACAGAATGGCCTGAGCCTCCACTCTGTTCCAGACCATCAAGTTTTAGGGCCAGAGCTCTTTACTGGTAGTGATATTGTGAGGGGAATTAATGAGAATCAATCTCAATTTGTTTTCACTTATTCTATGTATTTATATTTTGTCAGTGGTTCAATCTGTTTTTAACATTATTTGTTTTTCACATGAAGAGGCTTTTTCAGTAGCTGTTAATTGTGTCACTCCCTATTATTAATGAGTGTTAAGAGGGACTGTTTTTCGTTCTTCATTTTTAGATGAAAAGAAGTAGGGGTGGGCAATATGACAAGATTCTTATATCACAAAAGGAGTCATTTTAGTTCACGATAATCATATATATCACAATATAGTTATTTTTGCAAAAGTTTTCATATAAAAAATGTCATAATTGTCACCAATGCCAGTATCATTAAAAAATATATATATAATAATAGCCTAAAGGAAAAAAAACAACTCAAGCTCACTGAAGATGTGTAAATGGTCAGATAAAATGAGAAGAAACTAATTACAAACAAATTGTTCAAAGTAATCAAATGTATTTAAAAAACACTTTTTTTTATAACAAATAATTATTAAAAAAACATTGAGACGACACTGCTGCATGTCATGCCATACCTCTCACAGCAGGCATGCATCTTTTACTTCTGAGATAGGCAAATTGAGAGATCGCTGATCAAATCATTAGAAGCAATTATTGGCTGATAGCGATTGGTAGCTGATCTGCTGTGGGAAAGGTATATGTTCAAGTTGTCCTAAACATGAGAATTTTTTATTTATTATTCATTTATTTATTATATTTTTCTTTTTATTTATTAAGCACGAATCAAAAAAGCATAAGCGTTTGCCACATCTTGCTCTGTTGTACTTTGGCAGATGCGTGTGCTGTTTAATGCCTCTGACAAGTGTTTTCCTCAGCGTGTAACTTGCGTTTTATGGTTATATATTTATCTGTAAAATGTAAGAAAGTCTAGAAAGATAAATATTTTAAAATATTTAAAAAGTCTCTGCCTTTCTCACACAGAACAACCTCCTCGACAGCAACCAGTCTGGTTTCAGAAGTGGACATTCAACCGAGACTGCCTTGCTCTCAGTTGTTGAAGCCCTAAGACTGGAAAGAGTGGATTCCAAATCTTCAATACTTATCTTGCTGGATCTGTCCACTGCTTTTGACACAGTTAACCACCAGATCCTCCTGTCAACCCTATTGGCAAAGGACATCTCAGGAAACCACACTCCAGTGGTTTGAGTTAATAGAAATTATAAATGTATCTACCAAAGAGTTACAAATAAAACAGAATTATGGCTTATTTCTGCATTTCTGGCAAAATTATCTCGCCCCCCCATTCACTGCATGGTCCCTTCCTATGTAGCCTAGAGTCACTGAGTGAGATCAGATGGTAAACTGTCAAATTAGAGATGTCTTCGAGTTTTAGGGGGGGGCAAACCGAGCCGGACGATTTGGTCAGTCGCACTTTTAAACACATTTTAGTTTTGCTATAGAAAATCTACAAATTCACACTCTGATT